CGGGGGATGGAGAGCAGTTTTCTATATTCTGATATATCCGTTGTCATGTATTACCTGAATATTAGTGAAGTCCCCAGATCCATCCTGGGCCACCACCAGGTTGGGCATAAGCCGGGGGATGGAGAAGGGCGCAAGGAGGGGGGGAGGGCGACAATAGGCTTGGGGCAATTGGAGGGAAGCGTGGGGGCTTCTTGGGGGGAGGGGAAGGGGGGGGGGGGGGAGGGGGGGGGCGGGGGAGAAGAGGGGGTGCGGGGGAAGGGGGGAGAGGGGGAGGAGGGGGCAGTTGTCAGCAGCAGTGCCGTTGGCTTGCAGGAGTGATGAAGAGAGAGGGAGAAGATGGGGTGCGTTTCTGCCCCTCGGTATCTGCTGGCTCTATGGTGTCACTGTTGCTGTCCACCTCAGAAGTGGGGTCGTTCACATCAGCGGTGGGACCATCCACGTCAGCACTGGTGTCGTCCACGTCAGATGACACGTCAGCGGAAGCTTCAGCCGGGCCAACTTCTGGATTAGGTACAGAAGGGTCTTCAAGAGTCGTAACCTCTTCCCCTCGCGCTATCTCTCCGGTTGAACCTCCCCCTCCCGCTTTCTCCCCAGTTACTTCTCCCACCACTTCTCCTACCTCCCCCCCTCCCTCTCCTGCTCTGTCTCCTCCTACCTCCCCCCCTCCCCCCTCCACATTTACCCCAACGCTTCCTCCCTCCCCGTCGTCCGCACCACCCTCCCCACCTCCCCTAACCTCCTGCACTCTTCTTCCCCTCCTCAGGCCCGCCTCATCCCTACCCTTAACGGAGAAATCCGCCAATGATCGGCCGCTGGATGTTGCAGCAGGGTCAGCAGCAGCAGGTTCGGCAACAGCAGGTTCGGCAGCAGCAGGGTCGGAAGTAGCAGTTTCGGCAGCAGGTTCGGCAGCAGGTCAGCAGCAGCTTGGTCAGCAGCAGCAGGGTCAGAAGAAGCAGGGTCAGCAGCAGGGCTAGCAGCAGGGCTAGAAGCAGCAGCAGCAGCAGCAGCAGCGGCGGCGGCAGCGTCAGCAGCAGGGTCAGGAAAGAGCAGCATCACCACCGTCAGCAGACACATCAGTAGCAGCAGCAGCCGCGGCTATTTGCTGCATGTCGATGTCTGCTGCTGGAGAGCCCACAACGGAATCGTGCAGAATGGATGCCGTTTCCTGATGTGAACAGTGGGCGATAAATGAAACGAGGCGGTGGTGGGTAACAAATTACTAGGAACAATGGGGCAGCTTTTGAGTCAACTCAAAAGCCTGATGTGAAAAATGGTGATAAATATATCGAGACGGTGGGTGAGTGACAATCAGGGACCAATGGGGCAGAGGTAGTGGACAATGGGCGAATGGGCTTCTAACCGGCGAGAAATATTGCCTTCTACCATCAGTTCCCGGAATCTTCCTTCGCCCAGGAAATTGAACACCCATAGCGCCCCAGCCTCCCGTGCTCAAAGCTCGTGTCAAAACGCATGTCAAAACTCAAAACTCGCCCGAATCCTTACAGGGACATGTCATCCAGGCTTCCCCAGGACTGCAAGAGTCACCAGTGGACATGTCACACCTTCTTGCAGTCTTCAGCAACATCCACTGGTGCCTCTTCAGTCACGAGTCTGTTGTCTCGTCGCATCACCCACACCCGCACCGCAACTAACCGTACTCACCCGTACTTGTGCCATCATGCCGTATCGCCCTTTTCCACACCGCCCTCCCGTCCTCCTCAGGAACTTGGACGCGCCCGAGAGAAGATTCTCACATCCACCCTGCGAGTACTGCACCATACCGCAATACACCGCACTATACCACGCCCTGCCCGTACCGCACTCACCTGCACTTGTGCTGTCACGCCGTATCGCCCGGTGCTGCCATCCTCTTCCACACCGCCCTCTGCCCTCCTAAGGAACTCGAACGCGCCCTGGCAGTTGTCCGCCAGCATGGCTGCGCCCAACAGCTTGAGGCACTCACAAACCCACACCCAACCCACACCCACACCCACACCCACACCCGCACCCACACCCACACCCATACCCACACCCATACCCACCCTGCAAGTGCCACACTCACCCGCACTTGTGCCATCATGCCGTATCGCCTGCTGCTGCCCTCCGTCCTCCTGAGGAAGTCGAACGCGCCTTGGCAGTTGTCCGCCAGCGCGGCACCATCAGTACGCTCACACATCCACCCACGAGTACTGCGCAAACTGCACTACACCCGCACTATACCGCACCGTGCCACACTCACCCGCACTTGCGCCGTCATGCCGTATCGCCCGCTGCCGCCCTCCGTCCTCCTAAGGAAGTCGAACGCGCCGTGGCAGTTGTCTGCCAGCGTGGCCGCCCCCGACAGAAAATTCACGCATCGAACCTGCGTGTACTGCACTGTACCGCACTGCACCGCACTCACCCGCACTTGCGCCGTCATGTCGTAACGTCCGCTGCTGCCCTCCGTCCTCCTGAGGAAGTCGAAAGCGCCCTGGCAGTTGTCCGCCAGCGTGGCTGCCCCCGACAGTTTAAAGACCGCGTCCGACGCGTCCGCGTCGCCTGCCTGGAGAATCTCCGAGGCGCGATCCATGCTGAGCTGCGAGAGCGACATCTGATGGATACGAGACCGGTGAGAGACCCGAAGTTGGGAGGGGTTGGGAGGGGTTGGGAGGGGTTGGGACCGGACTGAGGGCTTGAACCGCGCGTCTGTCGCGCCCGCGTCGCCTGCCTGGAGAACTCCGCCGCGCGATCCATGTTGAGCTGGTGTTCTCCAGGCAGGCGATCCATGCTGAGCTGGGAAAGTTGATGAGGGGAGCGGTGGGAGGGCAGGGGAGAAGGGGAGGAGGTGCGGGGGGAGGGGAGAACAGAGAGTCAATAGGGGCTGCTCGAAGAACCTCCGAGGCGCGATCCATGCTGAGCCGGGAAAGCGACAGCTGATGGGGAAAGAACGGGGAGGGGGTGGGGGGAGAGAGAGGAGGGGGGGGGGGTTTGTAAGGGGAAGAGGTGAGGGGGAGGGAAGAGCGCCAACCGTGCGCGTCCGTCGCGTCCGCGTCTCCCGCTTGGAGAATCTCCGCCGCGCGATCTATGGTCAGGCGGGAAAGCGACAGCTGATGGGAATACGGAGGGGAAAGGGGAAAGGGATGGGGAGCGGGGGAGCAGGGGAGCAGGGTGCCTGAAGAGAACGGGGGGAAGGGAAGGGCGGGGCGAGCCCGGGGGAAGGGAGAGACAGGTGGGGGGGGAGGAAGGAGGGAAAGGCATAGCTGATGCCATCAGAAAGAGGGTCCCGGGGCTGTACTACGTATACGTGTACAATGCGCGCATACGTGTACGTCTGCTTGCAATAGTTACAATAGTTCCATTAGTTACAGCCAATGCGAGTCGCGCCTTACCTGATGCACGCAATCGCGAGCCGCTTGCGTCCACACATTTCGCGCGCCCGCGCGCGCGTCTTCCGCCATCCACTTACGCACGAGACCCAGCGCGTGCCCGCGCGCCGTTCCCGCCTGCGCCATCGCTTTCTTCAGCCCCGCGAGCGCTCGGCGTGCTTTGAGCTGGAACTTGGCGGCATTCCAAATCGGCAGACTGCGCAGCGCCGTCCCCCACGCGCCCTTCTTCCCCTTGCCGCTCCGCCCTCCGTTCCCCCCGCCCTTGCCCTTCCCCTTTCCGCCACCCTTGAGAATGCCGCGCAAGGTATCCACTCCGCCAGCCATCCCTTTTCCGCCTTTGCCGCCAGCGCTCTCACGCCCTACGCCCTTGCTCCCTGCGCCCTTGGTGTTGCCTTTGCCTGACCCGTTCCCTTTCGTCTTGCCCTTGCCTGGCTTTCCCCCCATTCCCGGGTTCTTTCCGCCGATGGTTTCCGCCGCCTGCAAGAAGCCTTGGTTCGTCCCGGTCGCGAGGAGGATCTGCATTTCCTGCGAAATCACGCGCGACTTATCATGTGGTAACAGCAACCGTTCGCCGACCGAAGGCCCACTCGCGAGCGTCGCTACAGGACCCAACAAAGTCATCACAGCTAAGGCGAAGAATAGGGAGGCTATGGTTTTCTGGTCCGGTAAATAGTTTCTTCGGCACCATATTGTCGATAGGGAAGCGTGAGAAGCGTGAGGAGCGCGAGAAGCGCGTTCTAGAAGGGATCAATCGTGAGACAACGAGATTGCTGGCGCTTGATGATTGAGGGACCCTGCTATTGTGACGCGACGAGGTCCTGTGTAACGAAATGGCCATGTGAGGAGGCGAACCCGCCGTTTGAAGCGAACCCGCCACGTGAGGCGAGCCTGCTCGTAGTATTGATCGAGTTTTTTCACGAACTCGCTATGTCGATCAGTCAGCTCGCAAGTGCGCCGACTCAATGACGCGTAGGCTCTAAATTCAAGTTGCGAAAACTCGACTTGCTTACCAGACGATTACTACTATTCTAGTCATCAGACTAGTCGAGCTTGTTCCAGAAAGTCGGGTGCTAGCAGACACACGCGCAGTGCGCAGAGTCGTCTGGGGGTCTGCACACTGCAGCGATGGCGGATTCACTGGCGGGCCATGTTGGCCGCACTGTCTGCTCGCCTGTTCATCGCAGAGAGGATGGAATTTGGGTCGCGCAGATGTTGAGCAGAGATCCAGGGCAGCAGCAAGGGCTGAAGCGAAATTGCTTTCTGAACTCGAGTGGTAACACGTCTGTGCTTTCATTATCTAGGGCCAAATACCGGATACACGATTTTTTGCCAGCCCAAGCGGCCCCGCATCTTCACCTAATTTGAAGCCCGTGATTGCAGAGCAAGCCTTTTGTTTGTCTCACGCGAACTGGTTGCAAGATACGTTAGACGTTTGTTAAATCCGTGATGCCACTCCGATCGGGAAGAAAATCGTATGATAGACCAAACTGAAAGGGTGTACTGGAAAAGACGTGAGAGAACTGTCGCCCTGCCTCTGTGGAACCGCCAGTGCGGCTCGCCTGGCTCAGTCGAACCAGGGATGCGGCTCGGACTCCCCATCAGTGGCTGGATGCGGTCTGGTTCTCTGTCAGTTGAGGCAATCGTCGATTTCTTCGCAATTTCTGGACTTCGGCCAACATTATGTCACCATCATGAACACTTTACGTGCCATATCCAGATAGACATACAGTTAAACTCCACGTGATCCGAAGCATTTTGTATCGAGGAAACCTTGCTCCTGCTATTGCTGATGTGGATGCAGGCGGTGGAAGTCCTGCTTTTGTGGACCGCGCAACTTCGTCAACACCAGCACAAGACCATCTGGATGAGCCTTGCCCCTGACGTGGCAATGTGTAACTAGACGGGCTGCCGTCAATTTTACCACGGGGAAATTACGGAGCCCCTGGTTGGGCAGCGCCGCCAGGCCCTGGGAGGGACATCGGGATTCGCTCTCTCGGTGTTGACGGGGAGCTACCTTTAGCACACAACCAATCACGGACTTCCTAAGGCCTAACGGGATTACACCTCAGCTGACGGAATGGGAACCGTCAAATTCTTCCCTCCTTGGGAATGTCCTTCCTGCATTGCCCCCTCGGGATTAGCCCAGCTGGTCCAGGGTCATTTGCTGGTCCAGAGTCAGGGGTCAGGGTAATTGCCGTTCCAGCCATCATTTGCTTACCTACTCCACTTTGCCCTAATCCTCCTGGATTCTGTACCAGGACGGATTGTTCCAGTCTTCAGTTCCTGCATTTCATCTGGGACGGAGGACTGCAAGAGCAGCAACTTCGTCTAGCGGACACTAGCATTCGCCGGTAGACGAGCTTTCCGTCGGCCTTAACTTAGCGCTCCTCCCGCTGTTCCCCCGTTGCGACGTATTTCGAGCTGTTTACCCGGTTGACCAGTCAAAATGTGTGGCATTCTCGCTTGCTTGAGTTCGTCAGATGACTCGCCTGGCATGCGAGCGCGAGTCCTCGAGTGCTCGGCTAGGTGAGTTCATGTCACGTGTAGCATGTTCGTGGATTTGACGATCGACGCTAAATGCTTCGCCAAGTGGCATCGCGCTGGTTGATTTTCTGGGATAAATGGAATTAACCTGCTTAGTGATATGCTGCTGTCTGGTCGCTACGGTGTATGCTATAAATCGACTTTGTATCCGCAATTTTAGGCTTTGAGTTTCCTATGTTAGGAGCCTACGGTTCCTAGCATGCCATGCTGAAAGCACCTATATTTCTTCGAATACATTCCTCGTAACTATGTATCTTCCTGGAACCATCTTAAAGGGATTATTTATTTTTATTCTGCATTCTCGAGGCATTGATCTTCCTAAGAGCATCACCGCGATGCATATTTTCCTATATTTTTTTCTGTCAGGCTGAGGCACCGAGGCCCTGACTGGAGCGGCGTGCACGTGGACAACAACAACTTCCTCGCGCATGAGCGTCTCGCTATTGTCGACCCGGCTTCCGGCCACCAGCCGCTCTTTAACGAGACCAAGGAGATCGTCGTCACGGTGCGTGTGCCTTACGCGAAGTCTGCAGATTGGGAGATTTTTGTGAATGTTGTGTGAATTATTGCAACGTTATGTGACATTTTGCATATTTGGATTGAATCACGTGTTGTTATTTCTATGTATGCGCGCGTGGTCTGGTCAGGTGAACGGCGAGATCTACAACCACGAGGCGCTGAAGAAGAGCCTCAAGGAGAAGCACTCGTTCAGCACGGAGAGCGACTGCGAAGTCATTGCCCACCTGGTGAGTGCTCCGTGGTGACAGGATTTCATGATTCTTGTGCCAGTTTCAAGGTATCACTTCTTAAGCTTTCCAGGAAAAGCCTCAAGGAGAAGCACTCGTTCAGCACGGAGAGCGACTGCGTACGTAGTCATTGCCCACCTGGTAAGGCTTTCATGGTTCCTTGCGTAGTGTTACCACCATGTACCATGTTTCGTGCCGCTGAGGAAGAGCCTCAAGGAAACGCACACCTTCAGCACGGGGAGCGACTGCGAAGTCATTGCGCAAACTATGATGTTCCAAGGCCTTGGAAACGCAAGCTATGATGTTCCAAGGTCTTGGAAACGCAAGCTATGATGTTCCAAGGCCTTCTCCTCTCCCCTTCCTTTCTTTCATGGTATCACCTCCTCCTCCGACTCTCTTGTCCTTTGAAGAATCCCTGGCTCTACGGCGAGGAAGGAGCTCATCCTAGATCTGCTCTATTCTCTCTCTCCCCCCACCCCACCCCTCCCCCTCCTCCCCCTTCCCCCCCACCCTACGAGGAGCGGGGCGAGGAGCTGGTGCAGGAGCTGATGTTAGTGCTGGTGCTGGTCCCTAGTGCTGGTGCTGGTCCCCTACTTTCACGCCCCACCCTCCTCTGCCTTCTCTCTGTGGTTGCCAGTACGAGGAGCGGGGCGAGGAGCTGGCGCAGAATCTGGACGGCATCTTCGCGTTTGTGCTGCTTGCTCCCCCTACCATCCGCCTGTCTCTTCCCTCCGCTGTATAATTTCGCCTTTGTGCTGATTGCTCCCCGCCCTCCTGCCAGTACGAGGAGCGGGGCGAGGAGCTGGTGCAGGATCGGGGCGGCATCTTCGCATTTGTGGTGCTTGCTCCCCCCTGCTAACCACCTGCCTCTGCCTTCATTTCCCACCCTCGACTCTGTCGTCGTCTTCCCTACCAATCACGTGCAGTACGAGGAGCGGGGCGAGGAGCTGGTGGAGGATCTGGACGGCATCTTCGCGTTCGTGCTGCTTGCTCCCCCTACCATGTACCTGCCTCCTTCCTGCACTGTATAACCTTCCCCCCTTTTTACTCCCAGTACGAGGAGCGGGGCGAGGAGCTGGTGCAGGATCTGGACGGCATCTTCGCGTTTGTGCTGCTTGCTCCCCCTACCAGCTGCCTGCCTCTTCCCTCCACTGTATAATTTTTCTGCACCTACCAACTACCTGCCTCTTCCCTCATTTCCCCTGCCCCCAGTACGAGGAGCGGGGCGAGGAGCTGGTGCAGGATCTGGACGGCATCTTTGCTTTCGTGCTGCTAGACACGAGGGACAACTCCTTCATTGCTGCTAGGGACCCCATTGGCGTCTGCTCCATGTACATCGGCTGGGGGCGCGATGGTAAGCTTTGATGGGCGCGGTGGCGTGGGGTGAGGCGCGGTTGGGTTGGGTGGGTTTGGGGCTGGCTGACGGTTGCTGCTAGCTGGAGCAGGAGAGGATCTGGACAGTGGGCACCGGGCAGTGCTGGTGGTGGTAGGTATTGCTATCTGGACTCTGGAGCTGGTGCAGGATCTGGACGGCATCTTCGCGTTTGCGCTGCTGGCCACGAGGACAACTCCTTCATTGCCGCCCGGGACCCCATCGGCGTCTGCTCCATGTACATCGGCTGGCGGCGCGATGGTGAGTGCTGCTGCTGGCGATGGCAAGAGATGGTGGTGACGGTGGATGTGGTTATTGCTGATTGGTGCAGCTCTACTGGCAAGGGATGGTGGTGATGCTGGGTGCGGTTATTGCTGGCTGGTGCAACGCTACTCTATCTTTCCTTCTGCGTTCGATTCCCCCTCTTTGTTTGCCTGCAGGCTCGGTGTGGCTCGCGTCGAGGATGAAGGCTCTCTCAAGGGCGAGTGCAAGTGATGTGTGGTCTTTCGTAATGCCAATGCACTCGTGCTTGCAGGCTCCATGTGGCTCGCCTCGGAATGAAGGCCCTCAAGGACGAGTGCGAGCGTTGGCCTGTTGAGTCCTAAGGATTCGGCTCAAGAGTAATTTTTGTAATGCCAATGCGCTCGTGCTCGCAGGCTCCGTGTGGTTCGCCTCGGAGATGAAGGCCCTCAAGGACGAGTGCGAGCGGTTTGAGATCTTCCCTCCCGGCAGCATCTACTCCAGCAAGCAGGGTGAGTGACAGGCGTCTTACATTGCATGCAGTGAGAGTTGGTTTTGAACTCAACTGAACCGTCTTTCCGCCTGGCAGCATCTACTCCAGCGAGCAAGAAGGGTGCGAGAGGGCGGGATACAGGTAGAGTCAAGCATGCGACTTAGCATTTGGGGATGTAATGCTTGCTCTGCAGACGAGCAGCGTGGGGGGCACGTGGGGGCATGTGGGGGCACGTGGGGGCACGTGCGGGCATGTGGGGGCACGTGGGGACACGTGGGGGGAGGACAGCAGAGCGAGTCATGACTTCCTGGCCCGGGGATGGTTGAGCACATTTCCGAAACGCCCGACAATCCCCTCGCTTTATCCTTTCTCTCCCTCCTATCTCTCCCCATGTTCCATACGTCCTCTGATTCTGCCTTCACAGGCGGCATCAGGCGGTGGTACAACCCCAAGTGGTACGATGAGCACATCCCCAACACCCCCTACGACCCTCTTGTGCTGCGAGCAGCCTTTGAGAAGGTGAGATAGTGAGGTCTCCCTTCATGCATCAAGTCTCGTATGGCCACGCCGTAAGTCGTATGAGCGCATCCCCAGCGCGCCCTACGACACTCTCGTGCTTCGAGCTGCCTTTGAAAAGGTGAGCTCTCGTTTCGGCCTTCTAGAATGTGAAGTGAG